GAAATCTGAAACGAGACTTTAGGATCACTGACCTTTGTCAGAGCAACAGTGTGTTCCTGACCACAGGAGATATGAGTGACTTTCTTCGTGTTCAGATAATTGACCAGCACTGGTGTGTTTCTATCTGTATGAAATACAAAATAAATACTTTGAGTTGCAGTAAAATAATGTGGGACATTTTATTAGAGCATACCAGTCTGAGCTAGCAGCGTGCAGTCGGGGGGATGAAGGTGAGACTCTTCCTCACATTCATCACGACAAGAAAGAGTAAATCCATTTTTGCACTTCTACAAATTTGTTTTCTGTATAATTTAAATATTCTTATGGTTGAAATCGTTGCCTTATGATTTTAACCATAAGGCAGATATGAGCTGCGTCTCACCTGGTTGTGCTGTCTAATGCGCATTGCTGTCTTTATATTTGCAATACACACATTTAATTACACATTGCACATTGTGACGTTCAGACTGTTTTATTTAAGTCTGTCTAGTTATGTGGGTTTAATATTTTTGTCTTTCGCGAAGAAAAATCACAGGGAAAATGCAGCGTGAGGCAGAGAGTACCCTGCCTCACTGATAGGTGGCAGTGCTGAGCCTGACAGACTGGTTGACAGGTGATTGAATGAAACATCCAGACCAGGAAAACTCTCCTCTGTGGAAGCAGTCAGACTTTTATATGTATTATTACAACACAATTAAAAGCTGTTAAACAAATAAAAAATTTAAATAAGGTCTAACTTTAAGTAAGGTTCATATATTTGTATATCAGTGGCTGACCAGTCATCAGCTACACAGCGTGCCACTGGTCTGAACAGAAGCAGGGGGTAATAATATATCTGTGCCTGACCTTCTTTGTCTCCCAGTCCGAGCTGACCACAGTCATTTCTGCCCCAGCCGAACACGCCTCCGGACACGGTGAGAGCAAAGCTGTGCTCTCCTCCTGCAGAGATGTGAACCACCGGGACGGCGGACAGAGATCTGATGTGTTGAGGTGAGCCGGCTCCAGAATTACTCCCACCCAGTCCCAGCTGACCCCTGGAGTCCTGGCCCCATGTGTACACTTGATCATCTGTGGAAAAAACATCACCCATTGAGTTGTTTTTCCTCTTCTTGGCTGCTGCAAGAGGGATTAACCAGAGGTCAGATCTCAAAGTAGACCAAAAATTGGTGCCAGCCAGGAAGAGCCTGATTACCCCATCTTTTTGTTTTAGGATTTATGGCCCTCTCTGTAGAACTCAACTTAAAAAAAAAACCCAATCTGTTTCAGATACTGACCACTAATAATTATTCTACAAAACCACACTTTAATAATTGACTAATTATCCTAACAAATAATTAATAAATGTATAATATCTCATATTTCTAACCAAATATTGAAATAGAGCAGACTGCGAGATAACAGTACCTTTGGTGAGAGCAACAGTGTGACGGCTCCCACAGGCAATCTGGGTCACTATGACGCTGGACAGCGCTGGTGGAGGTCTGAAAAAATACAACCACATTTACCAACACATTCTAAGATCATCGCAGGAAAAAATAAACAGTGGCTTTGAATTCCCTGTTACCTGGGAGTGAACGGAGTGATACTTGGGTCCACGCAGAAGACTTTACCTCCATCGGAGAGCAGCGTGACAACATCATCTCCACAGCTAACGGCCCGGATCTTCTCACCGCAGTTAACAAACTCTGCAAATTTAGCAACAGCACACATGAGTGCAAAATGAAACTTTCTCTCGTCCGTCCGGTCATTATAAAGGATTACTACTCACTTTGTTTCCCTCTTCTCCCATCTGGGCTCTCCTGTGTGCGGATAATAGACGCCTCTCCAACATCTTTGACGAAAGCGAGAACATTAGGAGCAGCAGAAAGGTCCCTGATGTGGAAGCCGAGGTTTAAAAAGTGAACTCGATCTGAAGTTGGGACATTTGAGCCCTTTTTCTGGCGAAAGCTCTGCCGGTAGTCCTCTCCCCACGAAAACATGTTGGTGAATGAGGCTGTGAAGCGTTTACAGCGGGTCCTTTTAATGACTCGGCTGTAAGAAAAACGAAACTGGGCTTGTTGTTCTTTCCAACGACGGCGAGGAAAGGAAAACAAAACTATGACGCGTGAAAAGTGTGACACACCCACAGTCAGAGAAGTTGTCTCCGTGGAGAAGGAAAACGAAAGTGAAACCTTCAAGTATAAGAGCTGCACTTTCTGCATATTTTGAATTTCTTAGTAAATAGAAACACATACAGGGATTTTTACCGAGAGGCAAACTTTGGTGCACTCAAAGCTACTTATAATAAACTTGGCTGAAGAAAATAATTGGTCCCAAAATACTTTACAAACTGGCCGACATTCGTTAAATAAGGCAAACATAAATAATCATTTTTAAAATTTTGGATCCATAATTTAAGCCAGTTCTCCAAGGTCTTATGGGGCCTTAAGTAGAGTTGCATTTGGGGTCCTTCATAACATCAAAACCACTCAGTTTTTAAATGTTTATTTGGGGAAATTTTGAAGAGTGGAGTTTTACTGGCTGAGATTAAGAACAGATAATTGACGATTTGAGAACAAATTCGGTTCAAACACAAAGAAAATATTAAACGCAGCATCAGATTATAGGTATGAACACAATCATCTTACAATGAAGGTGATTGCAGTACGGCTGCCAGTTCTTTTAAATCTTAAATTTTAATTTGAAGTTATTTAAAATATTTTAATCTGAATGCTAAAGCTGTTGTATCAAAGTCAATAGTACTTTATATATATATATATATATATATATATATATATATATATATATATATATATATATATAGCTCTATGGTCTGTGTTGATATTCAAACATGATATTATATGTGCCTATTTGATCCATGAGTACATCTGACTTGATGATTTTGTCCCACATGACAAAAAGTTTGATTAACAAATAATGGAAAATTCACTGAAGGTAGCACATTGTTAAATGGATTGAAGTACATCTCATGTTAATTTCTAATGGAAATGCAAAAATCTTCTCTCTGCAGTGGATTTTCAAATAAATAATTCTAATGCAATTACAAGCTATTTTAAATCATAATAAGCTTTAATAAGGGTGCGTTCCCACCGCGGCCTGAAGTGACCCAATTCCGATTTTTTTTTTTTTTTTTGACGTAATGCGACCTGTATCCGATCTTTTGTGAACAGCACAGGTCGGATTCTTTTTCGAATGTGACCCATATCCGATACGTATCCGATTCAAATGCGATCTAAAGCACTGTTTAAATTTGAATGATGCAGAAGAGCACCTGGAATCAGTCTATTTCCAACTGCCCAAATCTCAAGACCAACAGCCAAATACAAAGATAGCTTCAACACTAAATCCCAACCAAATTGAGAGCAAAACAGACATTCAAAACTATAGAAACACACTTGTGACCAAGAAGCGTTATCAGAAGTGACAACCAACATCCACCCATTCATGACACATGACTACAACCACAACTTACATCCAATGACTGTGGCACCAGTCTCAACAGTAAACAGCAAACAGATCAACTGAACGTCAAGAAGAAGAAATAAACGGAACAAACCTCCTTCCAATAAGGGTGCCTTCACACTGCAGCCTGAAGTGACTCAATTCCGATTTTTTTGATGTAATGCGACCTGTATCCGATCTTTTCATGGCAGTGTGAACAGCACAGGTTGGATTCTTTTTCGAATGTGACCCATATCCGACACGTATCCGATTCAAATGCGACCTAACGTTCAGGTCGCATTCATCCGAACTGAACGTCACTGATTCTCAACAAATCTCACTATTTTGCGTCCTGATATGCGCAAGTGGGAAGAAAAACAACAACCATGACGAATTATATGATGATTAAGTTGTTAATATGCTGCTCCGGCCGGACAACAACTTCAAATATGTAAGCTAAGCTCCACCGTTAGCCTCCATGTTTACTTCCGCAAACACTGAGCACTTCTTTTTTTTATGGCAGTTGGCAGAACACTTAGAACGCTGACGCTATGGCGCCCTCTACTGCGCATGCGGGACACTTTCAGGTCGTTTGCCCGTTCAGACTGCAGAACGCATACAGGTTGCATTTACTGGCAGTGTGAACGGACCCGGCAAAAAAATCGGAATTGGGTCACTTCAGGCTGCAGTGTGAACGCACGTGTTTAAACCAATGCAGAAACAAAAATATGTTCATAATCATGTGAATCTGTCATAAATATGTAAATAAATACAAAACAGAATTTGTCATTTTGTGAAATGTGCACAAGCAAACACAATTTTAGAATTAAATCTCTTGAGTTTTATTCATTGATTTTATTAAAGAAATATACAGATCTTTACAGAGATAATGTAATTGGAAAAAAATAAAGAACATAATTAATAAGACCATCCTGCCCACACTTTTCAGTTTATAGTTCACAAAGTTGATTTTTAACATGATGTTAACTTAATAGCAAGGAAGCAAAAATAAATAAATAAAATTTCCCTTTATCATTATCATCAGACTGAAGGAAAAGTCATGTAAACAGTCCTCTGGTTACATGACATATTTATTTGAAAGAATCTCAGATTATATTTTTAAAATCTCACTTATTCCACATCAGTCTCAGGGTTTGGGAAACCCCAGAAAACTTGCTAAGCCCGGTGGTCGGGGCGTCGAGGCGGTCCACCGGCAGTCCACTGTGTTTTTGTATTAAAGATGTTAAGTTGACAGGAAATGTAAAAGTATTACTGTGTAATTATGTTACGGGAAAAGATCTCGAGTGAAATGCTATTTAAACCCACAACTAGTCTAAAACAACAAATTTGCACTTCTGTTTAATCCAAATTAAGTCAGCAGCTCCTTCAGGCCCCCAAGAGCTTCAGGGGCTTAGCCTGGCGGCGGGGCAAGTAAAGCATGGCGGGCCGCCAGGCTTATAATACACAGGGGGAAACCCTGCAGTCTAATGATTATTTTAACATCTCAGTAAACTAAAGTGTAACAATGAGTTACAAAACATGACAGTAACAACTTCTTTGCATGTTTTGATTAAAACTGTTTTAGTTTAAAACCTGTTTTTCTTTACATACACACAGTTTTCATCGTTAGGGAAGTGCTGTGCCAGTGAGTAAAGACCCAGTCAGGGATTCATCCTGAATCAAACGTACTGACTGATCCTTTTGTTGCTAAGAGCTTCGATCAGCTTGGCTTGCATGATGCCTTTGGTTGAATACAGCGGCAGTTCCAGGGTCGAGAAACACGTCTGGGTCGCAGGATAATACTGGTCATCCTGCAAGGGTTTAACTTTGATATTCATCTTTATCTTGTCCAAGCCGAGGATCGGCACCCGTTCAAATCCAGTGACGAACCCTGAGGGAGGTAAAAGAGGTTATCAGGGGATATAAGCTACACAGCAGGAATAAATCTGCCTTTACGGAAACTTTCTACAAAGAAGTATTAACTTTAGATGTTTTTTTTTTTTTTTTGACAATTTTGCACAAAGTAATAATAGTGAGTGGCATATTTGTTCATCTGGCCATCAATAAACGCAATCTAAACTTTGTTGATGCCATAATATTCTGTCCTTTGTAATGCTGTAATTCAGCTTCAACAAACAAGCTAAGTTTTTATCAGAAATTATGTTGAGTTCAAAATTTGTTTCCTGTATAATTTTTTTTTTCTAACTTTTCATAACTGAAGTGATTTTTCTGGACAATTAATTATTTTGGTTGTGTTTTTCTAAATAATGTTGGAAACCATCTAATTTCATACTCACACAGAAAGCTGTTCTTCTGATTCTCAGTCAGTTCATCGAAAACTTCCCAAAACATCTGTATGATGGGGTGGTCGGCATTGTACTCGCCCTCATAAACTGTGTTCTTAAGAGAAGACCAAAACCTGGAGTCAGCAATAATTCAAACAGCTCAGAATACAAACCATCATAACAAAAGTACCTGTTTCAGCTTCTCCCAGTCATAGAAATCCTTTCCAACTAGGATTTCTTGTAGTTCCTTTGGTGTAAAAAGTTTCACCAAATCCCGGTCACAAACTTGGAAGAAACCTTGTTTGAACTCATAAAACGCAACCTCCACTGATGTGTTGAAGACGTAGTTCACAAAGGCGTCAACAAACTCTCTCCTGTTGAGTTGATAAAAATTGTCATTCACAAAGATGGGTCAGACACATATTATGATAAGAGAAATTTAATTGCTTACTATTTTTAATAATAGTTTACTACTAATTATCAAATATTGGATTCTGAACAGCCGGTGTGGATTTAGTCCAGCTGTGTAAGAGTGTACCAGATGTAAATAAATACTTATGTGGTCGTTAGACTTTGGTTGCCCAACCTACATGTGTTTATGGATTTGAAGAAAAATTAGAATCATGTCCATTGAGGTATTTTATGGAGACACCAGAGTATGGATTTATAAGGTTTCATTTCCAGTTACATTTTTTTTTCCAAAATTGCCTTTTTTGTGAAAAACTCTAATATATTTATAATTTAACTAAACAAATGAGAACAAGTTGAATCGTGAACGGCTCATAAAAAAAGCTCAGAAATAATGAAATTAATTCCTACTTGTTTTCGCTGGTAACTTGCTTGTCAGGATTTTCAGGATCAAGATCAATCTCAGTTCCATCCCATGAGATCTTTAAAGAAAGGACATGCTGGTGTTACTTTTCTTTATGTTAATTTAAAAAAAAAAAAAAACGGTTAGATATCAAAGACCTAAAATGGATGGTGACATTTCTTTTCACTTCATTACTCACTGTAAAATACATCTCCTCTGGGTCTTCTTCTGTGTCCAGGATGGACTGCAGACCACTCAAAGAAAACAACACAAAGATAATTTTTAATGATAAATATTTTTTTTATTTAAAATTATTTATAAATTCTACCTACTTGCCATAACTTGGACTGAATTCTTTCAAATCGTCCAGTGATGGCCTCGCTCCAAGCAGCTTTTTGAACAGCACCAGTGGGAAGGGTAAGTAAATGATCACCTTGTTGTACAAAGCCAGTCCACACAGAACCCCAAACAGGTGGAAACGCTGGTCCTCCTGCGAAGCCTGATATTGGTGGGTTAGATCATTAATTAGAAAAAAGATAATTAACTGAGCTTAAAATCAGCTATTTCTAAAGTCTTACTTTAGTAGAGGAGAACCACGCCAGTGTTTTGGAGTCATTGAACATGAACATGTCAGACTCAGTAGACATCAACTCATGAAAGACTTCATGAAAAAAGTCTTTCTTGTAGACATGATCAAATTCATGGTTCTCATCAAAAAACACCTGGAATGCAAAAGGGAACCAATAAGATTAAGACAATAATTCAAACATGCTTTATGAGCTTTCAGACTTGCTAACTTTACCATAAGTGGCATCTTGTAGTTTGTCTGATCAGTAGCAGCCAACTGTTCAAATGTGTCGCTTAACACAGAGGCTCGGCTCAGTTCCAGCTCCACGAATGGAGTGTCAGGGTAACACCAAACACCAAAGTTCTGAAAAAACTCCATTAAGCGCTGGAGGTCATATGGCCTGAGCGGAGGGTTAGGATGACACCATGCATAGTCCCAAAAAAATTTGATAAAGATTTCG